TGCGTCAGACCGGAGTTCTCGAGCAAGACTTTTTTTATTTAAAAAAAATATATATATAGCCTGCAAATTTTCTGTGAGCTGATTTCCAGCTACAAGGAGAAAAAGAAAAACAGATTATGCAGGAGGGAGCTGCAGGGAACAGGGATTGGGTGTTCTGCAAAGAGAGTTGGAGGTAAATAATTTAGCAGTAACTGTTATGCTGATGTTGTGGCTGGTCAAGCAAATGTTTGTGCTTGTTTCTGTATGATATAATTGTTCATATATCTATTAAAATACTGATATTCTGATCTATAACTCCTCCCCGAACTTCCCGCTGCCCTGTATCTTGATCTCTCATTGGCTGGAGGTCATCGGCGATGTGTTTTTCAGTCAGAACTCATTGCACACAGTGTGATTGTGAATCGCCGACAGCTCCAGATATTTAGCATGCCAAATATTTCACGGGCGTCGGCGACACATCTGCGATTCCCTCAGATCGCGTCTTTGATAATTCACACTGCATGATTAGTATCTAGCGTATTAGCTCTTCTTTTGCATAAAGTGATTTTGCATATCTCAACTACATCCTGTCGCCAGCGGTCACTGTTGCTTGTGTCGCCGGAAATCGCCAACTCTCTATTGACACAAATGTGATTTTGTCGCTTTGTCGCTGCATGTTGCTGGTAGTGTGAATAAAGCATCAGCCATTAAGTTACTGAACGCCAGGGGGCGGGACCTATGGTGTATAACTATTTGTTGATGTCATATGCAATTTGTCATATGCAAATAATATTTTCCTTGTGAAGTCACAAATCCCACAATATCCAAATGAGCCGTGTTTAAAGCTTGGTTAAATAAATGCCTTGTCTATAACATGGAGAACATTTTGGAACTTGCAGGATATTTTAAAAGCACAAAGACCTCATATATGTCAAATCAAGGCAAATTTGATTTCTCATACCATGACCCCTTTAAGTGTTTACACTTACCATTGTAGCAGATGAAAGACCAGTTGTCACTACATTTCCCTTCATGCCATTGTCCACTTCTCATAAAAGCACATTCATCATTGCAATCTGGTTGTCCAGTAGCCCAGTTCAGATAGAGCGCAGGTTCACCTGAAGACCACTGCCATTCAACACGAGCTGTCCTCTGCAGCCCAATCCAGACAAACCGAAAACCTCCACCATTCACACTCTTCTTCAGCTCGTTCATGTCGGTCATGTTGTCAACGGTGGCCAGATCTGTGTAATTCTCTCTGCAGTATCTCTGAGCTTCAGTCCAGGTCTTGTTCTCATTTATAAAGTGATACTGACGCTGAACCCATTCAGACACGGAGCAGAGAGCTGTGAAAGAGAGGCTTTGATTGAATGCTTTTCAGAACAGGATCAAACCTAATGAAACTAAATAAAACCTCAAACACACTCACCAATGAGAAGAATGAAAAATAGAGTTTGGTCCATTTCTGAGGAAGAAAAATATAGATAAACTCAAATATTCACAGATTCATTTTGGTGTAAAACATTATTTCAGCGATAATTAAAAATCCATCTTAACAGGAACATAAATGCACCGTACACAATGATTAAGACAATTTTAACACATCAGAAGTCTAATTCTGGTTAAAGAATGAACATGTGAGTTGTTCTTACTTTAGAGGTCGTGTGCTTCTGTCCTGAGTCTGATGTTTCTGTCTGTGATTATTATATCTGCTCTCATCCCTCATTCAGCATCACATCATTTGTTTATTACTCTAAACAAAAGCCTTTTTCATTTTTCTTCCTCGTTCATGTGTTTTTCTGATATTTTTCTCTGTGTTGGTCTTTGTTGCTGTAATTCTACAGAAGTGTGTTAATTTGAATGTGGTAGAGACGGGAGCGCCTGCATGTTTCCTAATGATGTATTGCATTTCCATAGCAGCTTGTCAGGACAAATCCATCTCAGCATTTGCATTTTCTTCTCTTATTGTTTGTTTTCCATATTCTTGCACCTTTGACACTGTCGGTGACCAACAGCATGTTTCTTTTTTAAAGATTTGAATGTTAATTAAGACCTGTCACAATAGAATACAAGAAAGAACATGATTAAAAAGAGTTCATAAAATGGTTAAAAAAAAAAGCTTAAAAATTGTTTGTTCAAATAATGTAAATGGAAAGTTCGTTTCCATGGTTTGTTGTGGATCTGTGATCTATTAGTCAAGTTAAGGTATGTTGGTGTTTGATTAGTTTCGCCTGTCTATGTCGTTATTTTTATCGCGCCGTGCTCCCCGTCTGTGTAATTCATAAACGCACATTTACTAGGTACAATACAATCAGATTGCGTGTCCTGTTTTGTTGTTGCAGGTATGTCGGAGCATGAGCTCTTGAAGCTCCGCCCTCTTCTGAAAAGGGAGGCGGGAGCACCAGCTAATTTGCATTTAAAGGGACAAACACAAAAATGGAGCGTTTTGGCTCATACCCTAAAAGTGGCAATTTCAACAAGCTATAAAAAATTATCTGTGGGATATTTTGAGCTAAAACTTAACATAGACACTCTGGGGACATCAGAGACTTCACAAGTTCGTGTGCCCATATAATCTTAGCATTGGTGGTAAACAGATTTGGCTTGATGTCTGCAATGTAGGGCTCAGAGAGCTCCGATAGCCCCCCTATAGATAGAAAGATAAATAAATAAATATGCATTTCAACAGGTATTTGAATTATAAAAGCTGCACACTTACAAAAAACTCATTAACAGATTGAACGGATTGATGAAAATGGCATAACATGTACAGTTGAATATTTAGTTTAATATTTATGATAATGATTTATAACTTAACAGCAAAACATGCAACAAATTCTCATATTAACATTTAATCAGTGAGAACTCTTCTATATGAATTTGTGTGTGGGGTGTGGGTGCTGAAAAACTAGCACTGTGGGATCTGTAGTCCATGGCCTGTCTCTTCATGCTCCATCTGTAAAGTAAACAGATTGGCTGATGTTACTAACCGTGTTATTAAAAAATGCTTATGAAATAATTAGTGTGGCTAAATGCTGTGGATGTTAAATTCATTTGACTTTAAACTCATTTGACTTGGCATATGCTACTTTCATTGAAAAAAATAGCAGCATTAAAAGTGTTCTGAAGCATCATTAGGATTATGAAAAATATAAATATTCAAACTCTACATTTTCATCACGTCATTTCTACAAACATTTTTATTAAAAAATGTATTAATCTTGATGGGTATACACACGCACACAACTGGAAATACGTTATAATAGAGTAGCTAAGTCAACTGCAACTTCCATTTTCTGCCAACTTGAAATAGGAAATATCCCTACAAATATAATTATCATGTAGAATTTATCAACAAATGGCAAAAGTTGCCATGTTACATGTTATTTGCTGATAAACTGTCACATGACCTCAGTCAGGGAAGCAAATTCAGAGATAAAACCGGTAAGAAAGTCATAACAGGTGTTTCTGGGTAGGGATGCTAACATTAACCCATTACATTTTCACAGGTTAACATCACTTTTTTTGTATTTTATTTATATGTAGGGGAAACAGCTAAATTTAGCTCTAAGGGAATTATTTATGATTTTATAGGGAATTTGAACAGAATCACTGTTTTACGGCTGATCAACTGATCACTGAATGGGCCGTATAACATCAACTCTGCAATGGATATTAATATCCAAAGTATAGTGAAAACACAGCCATATCACCCTGTAGCCCAAGACTGGTTGCTCACTGAAGTTAAGCAGGGTTGAGCCTGGTCAGTACCTGGATGGGAGACCTGAGAAAACTAGGTTGCTGCTGGAAGAGGTGTTAGTGAGGCCAGCAGGGGGTGCTCACCCTGTGGTCTGTGTGGGTCCTAACACCACAATGTAGTGACGGGGACACTGTACTGTCAACAAGCACCGTCCTTCGGATGAGACGTTAAACCGAGGTCCTGACTCTCT